CCCCCCTCTTTGTCTCAGTCTCCTTTAAAAAGCCCTCTCTGTTCAGTTCCCCTTTGCTGGGTCCTCGTCAAACACTGTCTACATGCTCCAACTCCTTCTCTCTGTGCCTACCTCGTTATGTTTGTGATTCCCCTGATGTCCCCATGGTTTCTGGTATGTTAGACTAGTTTTCATGTTTTTGATTTTTGGACTTCTGGTTTCACGTTTGTTTGGACTTTGTCTTCCTCTTGGATTTTTGGATAACCAGCCTCTGATTTCTGTTTAGTCATTATTAAATCCACAACAGATTCACCTCTGCCTCTGCTTTTGGGTCAACACTCAATAAACAAATCCTGACACTGTCAGCTAAAAGCGTATTTTAGAGTGTCTATACTCCAGTTAATGATTAATCGATTACTCAATTAGTTGACGATTATTTCAACAATCGATTTAATTAAGCACAGTTAATCCGATTAATTGTTTAAGCCATAGTTGAAAATACAATGCTTATTTCACACTTTGAGAGAACTTTTAGTATCAGTGGTACTGTGCTGAATTAACTCATGTCATACTTAAACAGGTAAGGAGGCAAAGATTTATAAAAATAAAATAAAAAAAATAGAATATAAATGGGCTTTCTGTTACAGCTGGTGGTGATTTAGCATTGTGTAGTTCATTCACAAGTAAAATGATGCAAGGCACTATTCTTGGCCCTCTCCTGTGTTCTTTGTATATGCGCCCTCTAGGGTCTGCTGATTGCCAAATATTATCTGTCTTTTCACCATTATGCCGATGATGCAAAAATCTTTTTGCCAGTTAAACACAGTGAAAAGATAAAATGTAGCTCTTAACCAGAGCTGCATAAGGGAGATTAAGGTATTGCTGCCCAAATTTTATTTTTCTACTGTATAATAAAAACACTAAATGCACCACTAGCCTGCCCATTATTTCACTGTCAGATTGTAATCTTGTTCTTCATTGCCAAGCAGAAGATAAAAAGTGTGGGGGGAAAAACAGCGTGTTGTCAGAGCAAAGTTTTCTCCTGCTCAGTGTCCTGGTGAAAGCTGAATACCGTCACAATTATTACAACCTGGACAAAAGTCATTCATGCATTTTACCCCAAGACTTGATTATTTTACTATACTTTGTAGTGAATCATCAGACCTCAGTTGCTCAACTTCAGAATCCTTTAACACATCTGGTTTGAACCATCACATCAGTGCTTTTACCTATTAATTAATTTCCAGTTGATTTTAGAATTTTGTTTAAAATGTATTTCATATTTAAAAGACTATTAATAGCTTTGTCCCTATATAATCTTCCCAGTCTCCGTGAAGGGATTTTAGACGTGCCAAGCTCAAGGTACATATAGTGGGGTGCTGTATCAATATTCCCCATATTTATGCTTCTTTGAAGTTCTTGATGTTAGAGATATTTAACTAAATTAGCTCTTAATAGTAGCACTGGTTTGCCTGGAACTACCACACATTTGATGTACTGTTTATGTCTTGCATGTTTTCAAAAATGATTTAATTTAATCTATAGAGCTTTATGTTATTTATCATCATTGTGGGGTGTATACGTTTTATTTCTTTTTGACTTTTGTTGTAAACTACTTTGGTCACCTTTGGAAACTGATAATGCTAATTGCCATTCAGAATCCCCTTCATTACGTGTCAAGACCAGCTCTCTTCCTCCATTGCAGCTGACCTTCAACCCATCTCCGCCCCATCTCTCCCCTTCTTCGAGATATTCTCAGCCCTTCTCATTTCCTGACTTATTCCACCATCAGTGTCTGGGCCTAACCTATTCATTCAAGCTCATGACATTCCTCAGTGTCAA